CATAATATATATATATATATATATATATATATATATATATATATATAGGGGTCCATTTAAGAGAGAAGTGATTAGTTTGTGGTAACTGGGAAATTAATAATTAAGATAATTTGAGTTAAAATTATAATTAGAGGACATTTTAGGTATTTTTAAAAAACTCCTATCTCCTATCTCCGGCCTCCAATCTCCGGCCTCCGATGAACATTAATCTGGCAGTTACCAAGTAATCACAAAGATACACAATGTGATACCCATTATGATATACTGTGATACCAACTATGATACCAACTCAAACCTTATAAACAAAGATACACAATGTGATACTCATTGTGATATACTGTGATACCGATTTCACCGGAGGCAGGAGATTGGAGGTCGGAGAGATGAGAGAAGAGTTTTTAAAAAATACCTAATATGCCCTCTAATTATAATTTTAACTCAAATTACCATAATTATTAATTTCCTAATTTATCCGTTGATTTGTGGTCGAAATTGGATCTCACAGTTACCACAAACTAATCAATTCTATTTTGATTAGGCCTATATATATATATATATATATATATATATATATATATGGGATCATATGAGATCAGACTCTTTCCGTGAAATCCATGAGGTCAATTTTTTACACTTGAAACTTCACAGCGAAACACTGTAAAAGTCACATTCACAGTGTTTTTGCTTTTAAGCTTCAATTTTTTTTTACTTTCACAGTTTTTTACTATAAAATTTCAGGTGTAAAAAAAGGGTCTTACGAAAACAGTCTGGTGTCATTATGACCCAACTCTCTCTCTCTATATATATATGTGTGTGTGTGTGTGTGTAAAGACTAGAGTGAGAGATTTGCGATCATGTGAGACCATACTGTGTTCGTGAGAGTGATGAAACCACTTTATAGTAAAGTTTCAAGTATAAAAATATGGTCTCACAAGTATCATGAAAGCCAATTCTCTCCCTCTCTATACACACACACACACACACACACACACACACATATATATATATATATATATATAGGAGTGATCATATGAAAACCGCCCTCATTTGTGTAAACCGTGCAAACCACCTTCATCTGTCGATTTCATTGTTTAATCTTATGAAATTTTTTCATGAAATTGTTTAATCTTGTGAAATTGTTTCATATAATACTTTTTAGGAAATTCTAAACAAAAAATATAGAAAATATTGTTGAGGAGAAGTGTGGATAGGGATAGAATATAGTTGTTTTAATGATTAATTAATTGGCTACACACACAAGTTGACGATGAAGACAGTTTGGCTGCAATACGGCTGACCGACCTCCTTCATCTTTATATCTATCTATCTATATCTATATAAACCCTTCACTCGTATCCTTAGACAGTAAGCCATCGTTCCATCAGCTTCAGCCATGGCTCGCGATAATCTGTGCATGCTCAACAACAGCGATATTGTCGCCGCTGATGAAGATGTCAACGGTTGGCTGGCTTTGGAGACGCTCTTGGGTCCGATGTTTGGTTGTCGTCGGAAGGAGGAGATGTCGACTATGGTTTCTGCACTTTCATATGTGGTCGCTGGTGGTGTCGCCACCGGTGCAGACATATTGGGTGGTGGTAGCAAGAGAGGACGTCACGACGAAGTTGTTCATGTGATGAATGAAGACTCCATTTTTGCTCATGGTTAGCTTCTAATTTTTTTTTCCGTACGAGTCTCCATGCATTTCTTGTTGTCTTTCTCTTTTTGATCACCAAATAAAATGTACAATCCCAACCGAATCTATCTTCCAGGACACCAATATAATGAATCATTGTTTGACTTATTCATTTAGCCGAGGCTAGTGGGGATCCGGGATCCAACCCACGAGCCTACCTCTTTGTCAACTGAGTTATACACCAAAAACACACACACACACACACACATATATATATATATATATATAAATATAAAACGTATTTTTTGTTGTAAAGTTTGACTTGTTTGGTTGTTATATGATGATATGGCAGAGAAAGAGAAAGAGAAAGAAGGGTCAACATACACATACATGAATACAGAAAGCAGTAGTACGATAGAAGATGATGGATTAGAAAGAAAGTATCGAGGAGTGAGACGCAGGCCTTGGGGGAAATGGGCTGCAGAGATCCGTGATCCTTGCAAGGCTTGTAGAGTTTGGTTGGGTACTTTTGGCACCGCTAAAGCTGCGGCTCGAGCCTACGACGAAGCTGCTCTGAACTTTAGAGGCAGTAAAGCTAAACTCAACTTCCCTCAAGATGTTCAACTCCATGGAACACAATCGTTCCGACCCAAAGGGGTCTGAGTCGTTTCATATATGTATATACGTATATATATGTAATATATATACGTATATATGTGTATATATATGTATGGAATTAGGTCAACATCCGTATTCAATTTATTCTAAGAAAGATACATAAATACAATGCTTAATTTCATGTGTTTTTAGATCTATTTAATTTGCTACACATTAAAACGGCAATTGTAATTCATACATTACATTCAACATGATAATTGATGTGACTCTAGAAAAGTGGCCATCAACAACCAATAATTTGTTACACACCAATCTAATTTGCAACTCACATTTTGCAATGGATGTATGATCCATGGCAAAAAAAAAAAAAAAAGAGTATATATTTGTACCGATTAACAAAGGAGAAAGAAAACACTTGGTTTTTAAATACATACACCACTAAAAAACTGGGTATTTTTGACGGACAAAATCCGCCAAAAAATTACCGGCGGAATACCGATGGAAAATAAAAGAGTTTACTTTCGTTGACTTCCACTGGAAATCCGTCGGTAACCTGATTCTGATAATATTTTTCACGGATTTCCGGCGGATTTTGTAATTAATTATTTTAGAATAGTAGTAACTCTAATTACAATAATTTACCGGTGAATTTTTAATTAATTTTTTAAAATTAAGGTCCATTTGAAATCCACCGGAAAGTAATTAAAAGTTAAAATTTATTTTTAAAATATTCCGACGGTCCGGTGGCTTTCGGGGGTCCGCCGGTAAGAGTTATTCAATATTTAAAAAAAACTTAATTACTTTCCGACGGACTTTCAGTTTTTTGATTTTTCTCATTTTTCAAACTTTTTTCCCTTAATGGATCGTATTGGGCTTTAACGGTTCTATTGGGCTTTAGTGAATGTTAGTTGGGTTAGTCGGATGTTAATGGATGGTGTTGGGTTTTAACCGTTTGTATTGAGCTTTAATGGATCGTATTGAGCTTTAATGCATTTTATTGGGCTGTAGTGGATTTAATTATGGTTTAACGAATCGTATTGGGCTTTAGTGGATTTAATTATGGTTTAACGGATCGTATTGGGCTTTAACGGATCGTATTAGGCTTTAGTGGATTTAGTTATGGTTTAATGGATCGTGTTGGGCTTTAATGGACAATATTGGGTTTTAATGCATCCTATTGGGCTTTAGTGGATGTTAGTTGTAGTTTAATAGATCGTATTGGGCTTTAATGGTTTTATTGCGCTTTAATGGATGTTAGTTGGGTTAGTTGGGCTTTAATGGATAATATTGAGTTTTAACGGATCATATTGGGCTTTAGTTGGATTTAGTTATGGTTTAATGGATCCTATTGTGTTTTAATGGGCCGTATTGGGCTTTAATTCAACCTATTGGCTTTAGTGGATGTTAGTTGTGGTTTAATGGATTGTATTGGGCTTTAACAGTTCTATTTAGTGCATCGTATTAGGCTTAGTGGATGTTACTTGTGGTTTAATGGACCGTATTGAGTTTTAATGAACCGATTAGACTTTAATGGATCATATTGGCTTTAATGGATCATATTGGGTTTTAAAGGTTCTATTGGGCTTTTATGGATCCTATGGGGCTTTATTGGATCATATTGGACTTTAATGGATCATTTGGGCTTTAATGGATCATGTTGGGCTTTAACGAATGTTAGTTGGACTTTAACATTTCTATTGGGTTTTAATGGATCGTATTGGGCTTTAATGGATCGTATGAGGCTTTAATCGATCGTATTAGGCTTTAATGCATCATATTGGGCTTTAGTGGATGTTAGTTGTGGTTTAACGGACTGTATTAGGTTTGAGAGGAATGATTGGGCTTCAATGGATCGTATTTAACTTTAATGGATCATATTGGGTTTTAATTGATCGTATTGAGCTTTAATAGATCGTAATAGACTTTAATGGATCCTATTGAGTTTTATTGGATATTAGTTGGGTTTTTAACAGTTCTATTGGTTTTTAATGGATCGTATTGGGCTTTAATGATCGTAATGGGCTTCTAAGGTTCTATTGGGCTTTATTGAATCGTATTCGGGTTTAACGGATCGTGTTGAGCTTTAATAGTTCAATAATAATAATAATACTTTAAAAAATATATAATAATTATAATAATAATAACAATAATAGTTTAAAAAATATAATAATAATAATAATAATAATAATAATAATAATAATAATAATAATTTAGTGGTAATAATGATAATAATTAAAAAAATCCAATTTCCGGTGGATGTATCCGCCAGTAATAAAAAATTTCAAGAAACTGGTTAACTTTTAAAAGTTTAATATTTTTTAAAAATTTTCAGCAGACACATCCATTGGAAATCCACCGATAATATCAAACAGATTAAAACCCTATCTCCCTCATTTCGACAGTCGTTTGTGAAGCAAAACTCCCCACAAAACCGATTGACAACCGCTAGCTTAAGAAACTGGGGCATGTACCTGTCGTCGACAGCCTCCTTCCTGCCGCTGGTATGTATGTATATATATATATATATATATATATGTGTGTGTGTGTGTATGTGTGTGTATAGAGTTTGGTTCAAATACTAACGCAGATTTTTGTGTTAACTTTGTTAACCAATCTTGGCCATTGATTCTTACAATAAAGGGTTGTGATTAATCATGATAAAAAATTAAATTTTTAAATTTACAATTTCAAAGAATATATATGAACAAAGGGGAAAAAAGTATTTAGGTAATTTTCTTTTTTATGTAACTCCCACATCATTAATTGAGAGTTACAAAATCAAAAAATCTCATTATTTTTATTAATTTATTTTTTTAATGTAAGAACCATATGAACACACACACACACTCTCTCTCTCTCTCTCTCACACACACACACACACACACACACA